ACATATGGAGTTTGCAAAACTTGTGCAAAATATGAGAATATGGACAAACAATCACTAGAATATAAAAATTGGTTGAAATCAAAGAATTATGCTACATGGGAAAATGATCACCACAATGGTAAAACAAAGTGTAGTCGAGTAAACAAGCTTGATTGTGTTGGACACGTCCAGAAGCGGATGGGAAAGAATCTAATTGCACTGACAGGGAAAACAAAGCTTGCCGATGGAAAAACTGTTGGAGGCAAAGCTGGGAGACTCACTAGGCCAACAATTGACAAGCTGCAGAAATACTATGGGAATGCTATCAGATCCTCTGTTGACAAAAAAGCTAAAACAAGCCAAGAAATTGACAAAGCAGTGAAACGGATGCAGGGTGCCATCAAAGGAGTATTGTACCACAGTGTCAAGATTGTTGATGGTAAAAAGAGACATCAGTACTGCCTTCAAGGAAAAAGCTCATGGTGTTCCTACCAAAGAGACAAAGCGAATGGATCTGATCCTGCTTTTGAAAACAAACCACACCATCTTGATCCTGTCTTGAAAACAAACCACCAATTCTCTAGTATGGAACAGATGTCCAAAACACCGCAATAGAGGGCTCAGTTCTGTGGAGACAGCTGCAGCATCCGCAGTAATGCAATTTAACGTTGGTGCGACTGCCCGGCATGATGTAATGAGAGAAATGGAGATTCCTGCTGGCTGTTTTACTGAAGCTGGGAGTGAGAGGAAGAACAACAAAAGAGTAAAGCAAGCAAATACAAGAGCACAAAAGAGATTCAAGGAAGCAAGGCAGAAAATACGACAGGCTAAATTGGTGGAGGAAGCAAGACTGAAAGCTCGGGAAGGCATAACATATGAGAGCGCAGCATTTAATGAGGATAATATCCAGGGTTCAAGAAAAAGGAAGAGGCAGACTGGCAAGGAAACTGGTAAAAAGGGAAAAAGCAAACTTACAAGAAAGAAATAGAACCTAAAACTGACTGAGTAACATAGAAAGAACAAGTTAGTATGAAACCGAAACTTTAACAGTATTTTTCTCGAAAACTGATTTTTGGCCGCACGTGAACTGCCCCCCACCTTTTCTCATTACTGTTTCAATGAAATTGGCCCATTTTTGGCACATATGTAGCTAAATGTATCTAGTATGGTCCTATTACCCATTTTTTAAATATCTATTTTCTATAAAGATTTATGTGAAAAAGATTGTTTCCAATATGGTTTTGCCGTTACCATGGCAACCGTGGTGAATAACAAAAAAATGGCTAATAGGACCATAGTTCAACATCTATACTACCACAAGGTGCAATTTCACTTGAATACATAACATATTAAAGAAAATTTTATGGGGGGGGCAACTGGGCCCTCAAAAATCTAACTTTCCATACACTACGCCCTTCTTTGGTGTCAAATTTCAGTTCGATGTATCGAACTGGAAATTTTTTTATCTCAGATTGTAGCTGAAGTTCTGTAGTTTCTAAAAATATATAGGTTGACCATATTTCAATCAAAAACTTGCCAAATATCGACTGTTAAAGAGTTGTTAATTTAGAGTAAAAATTGGGGTGAAGCTACCCCTTAAGTAATATATACAAGAGATATCACATAAATACGAATCATGCATATATAAAGAAAATAATTTTTTATCAAATGGCCTTAATATTCAAAAAAATGTTTCACCTCTGCCTGCTGGCCACAAAATACAATTGGCCAATGCACATATTAATATCGTATAATATCATTTCCATGCATACCTTGGTTTGAATATGGCAATGTTACATTTGCACCATTGACCAACACATTTTCTCCTCTTCTCAGGTATATTATCGTTCCTTGTATGTTTACCGTGATAGCATTTGTACATGTCGCTTTTCCCCTACCACAAGGTTCACTATCCTGTAGAATCATAAACGTTTCGTTTGAGTCCTTGGCCAAGACGTACTCACATTTTCCCATGAAGTTGTAACGTCTTCCATCAAATGTTTTGTAATGAGGATCACCTGTTGCTGAACATACTGCTACGACTGAAATGAGAAAACATCCAAGTTTCATTTTGTATTGTGGGTGTAGCCTGTTGCGTTTTGTTCACAAAGTCATATGTTGTATGAATTGGCGATTTTGTCTTTCAGATAAGCAGTTTTAATATTATTGAAGGATTGTCCTACTAGAGCAATAATTAGCTAATAGTATGTGTGAGGGCTCTTGATATATTTACAAAACTTTATATTGAGGAGAATATTGATCAGTAAAGTTGTACTGAGTATTTGTCCATAGATATCTTATATACACTAGATAGTGCATCTAATTATTCTGCAATTCAAAAATTGAAGCCGTGATTGCAGACTCAGGATATTCCCATGAAATGAGAAGACTCGTATATTTTCTATTTCTTAAACAGGGAACTTAAACATTAAGTTAAACCTATTCCAAATACATTTTCAAACTATTCAAATGATGAAAGTTATTGTCGTTTTTTAAGCGTTTATTAGCGGGAAACGAGTGGGAAACGCAACATGACCGCCATCTATTCAAATGGGGGTAACCGCTGGAATATTCTTGGCTTCTATTTTACTAAAAGAGGTGCGCTATCTAGTGTATATATATAAGATATCTATGTATATTTGTCACAGTACATATAGTACTCAGATACAAGTTCTTATCACTAGCAGGATTTACATGTGTTAGGACATTGGAACAATGTCTATTTCCCGTCAATATAGGCTATACAATACATTTGCGGTATATGATATTAGATCAAATCACATATCTGTATTTGATCTTAAAAAAAATCATTAATAATTCACGTGGAAAATACAAAAGAAATGAATGTTTAATCAATGTTTGTAAATCGGATAAAGATTTGTCTTGATTTACATAAACTTCAGCTTTGATTTTCTCGGCTTAGACAATGTTTATTTTTAAAATTACTTTGCCAATGAACTCATAAGATGGGTCATTTTTTAAGCACGTTTCGGCTCGAGTTTGTATATCAGATGCAGATCGGCTGCTCATGTTTTATCTAGTACTTAAAGTGCGCATGTATTACGGCATCACTTGAAAGTACCTTGAAATGATGAAGAATGGCCTTAACAATTTATTCACAGCTCATCTTCTTCCCAAGTTATCAGGAATTTTGTTTATAAAATAACATGTAAATAACGCCTGCTGTGATTGGTCGAAACCCGTGTTTGGATCAGGTAATCGAAACACGGAAATTTAATTTCAAAGTTATTTAAAGTGAAATTTTAAAACGGAAAGTTGTTATTTTATAAAACAATTACTTTATTGTTTCCGTGTTTGGATGGCCTGATCCAAACACTTGGGAATGTTGCTCGAGTTAAGAAAAGCGAGCAAAATCACTCGCCTTCGTCTCGTGTTTCGCGTACTTTTCTTAACTCTCGCAACATTGCCATCCAAACAGGGAAACCATAAAGTAATTGTATAATATTTGTGGTATCACGTCACTATGGTTGTGCTAAAGATGGCAGCAAAAAGACGAAAGTCTAATATCCCAGAAATTCAACGAAATTTAATGAAATTGGTAGTGAGTAAGTGCACCTGAGCAAACATTTTGAAACGTTTCTATGGTATGGTTGTCACAGTAATACACTAGTCACCAGGACTCTCTTGTCCTATTTGTCCAATTCTTTGCTTCCAACAAAAAAGACAGGCGTTTTTGTGATTTTCATTTAATATTATCATCGTTTTTAGACATGACTAAAATAAGAAGGGGAGACCTGATAACCAGTGTATTACTATGACAACCGTATAAACGTTCCCGAAAAATGTTTTGTTAGACGCACTTACCAACTGTAGGCTACCAAATTACATTCAATTTCGTTGAATCACTTCTGAGATATTAGACGTTCTTCTTTTGCTGCCATCTCGAGTACAACTGGTGACGTCACAACACAAAAATACAAAATGCTCGATAACTTTGGAACGAGATGAGCTGTGAATAAATTGTTCAGGCCATTCTTCATCATTTTCAAGGTACTTTTAAGTTATGCATAAAACTTTAAATCTTTTTTGTGTGAAACAGTTAAGAAATTATTTTTGAAGCCTGATTTGCTTCACTTGCTCAATAGACGATTCCCCTTATTACGTTTTCGTAGCGCTTTGCATTGTGGTTATAGTGCTATCACTGATATTCAAGATGGCTTATTTTTTGTCCTGACCCGTGCAAGAACTTTTTAAAAAAGCTAGGGTCAGGTGCGCGATATTCACAGCAAAATATTCGTGAAAACATTCAATATTTCCATTCGAGGCCGCTATTATAACCACAATGCAAAGCGCTACGAAAACGTAATAAGGGGAATCGTCTATTAACGGAGCGACTGCAAAGTTTTGTAATTTTTCCTTTCATAGTACGGTCCGGGCTGACTGAGCCAATCCTCCCTCTTCAAACGATTTCCCACCATTATCATAATAGGGATGTTATTAGGGCGTTAGTGAATTTGATTTATTCATTGGTAGATTCCAAATGTTTATCAAAAATTGAGTCAGTTACAGAGTCAGTACATATTTTTAATAAACGATATATCCAGGATTGTGTATATAAAATATTGTCCCGTGCATCATTAGTACACGTAATACATGACTTTTAGTGCGAATTGCCGGAATTGGATACTACAATTTTTCAAAAACAAAATTACACATTACCAAGTGTAAGGAAGGACATGGTCAATTTTCCGCAATGAAAATCTCACTAGGTATCAGTAGATCATGTTTTAATTGAACATGTATATGAAGTACGTTTTATAAATTGTAAAAGAGGTTTGTGTAAAGGCTTCAAAAACTCATTAATAATTCATGAAGCAATTATCCAATCTTGAGTAAGAAATTAGTCACGTGCATACGTCTTTATACCAGCTAAAGAACATTTTATATAAAGATTTTTATATAAAGATTTTTATATAAAGATTTGACTTATTATGGAAACGTTTTTGAAGCCATTTAAAAAACTCGCAGGTCGTGTTTTATCAGGTCTAAAGCCACTCGCGCTGCGCGCTCGTGGCTTTAAACCTAATAAAACACTCCTGCTCGTTTTTTAAATAGTACTTCAAAAACTCATTAATAATTCATGAAGCAATTATCCAATCTTGAGTAAGAAATTAGTCACGTGCATACGTCTTTATACCAACTAAAGAACACTTTAACAAAAGCCCATTGTTATGCAAACTATATAAAGATTTTTATATAAAGATTTTTATATAAAGATTTTTATATAAAGATTTTTATATAAAGATTTTATATAAAGATTTGACTTATTATGCAAACGTTTTTGAAGCCATTTAAAAAACTCGCTGGTCGTGTTTTATTAGGTCTAAAGCCACTCGCGCTGCGCGCTCGTGGCTTTAAACCTAATAAAACACTCCTGCTCGTTTTTTAAATAGTACATAAAATTGTCATGCAACTTTCCTTAAAGCGTGTTATTTCTTTAATTATAAAAAATGTTTAAATAAATGTTTAAATAAATGCCCTATGTGATCGCTTTAAGCTTTATAGCGCCCTGCTTTAAGTTTGTTCAAAAGTCATTTTTAACACAAAAATTTTTCGTTTTAATCTTTATGCATGTACTATTTAAAACATGAGCAGCAGTGTTTTATCCGATATAAGCCGAGTTTCTTTAGGTCTGATAAATCATTTAATAGTTGCTTCAAAAACGATCGATCTAGTAAGTTCATTGGCAAAGTAATTAACAAAGAATACGTTGTGTAAGTCGAGAAAATCAAAGTTAAAGTTTATGCAAATCAAGGGAAATCTCTATCACACATATAAAGATGCGACACGCTTATGATTTTTCTTTGTGTTTTCCTCATGAATTTTTGATGAGTTTTTGAAACTGTTATAAAAAGTTTCGCCTGTGGTTCATTGCGATTTAATGATGTAACTCAGTACCAGCCGTATCTTCAACCGTCTTTTCATCCCATATATCGGTTAATTCCATACAAAGTGAGTACCATTGCTTTGTATATACAAGTATATAATAACATTATTATGCAACTTGCTTCCAATACCTTTATTCTGACATCGTTTTCCTTTGTAACCAGATGAACATTTACACTGGAAGGAATTTCCAACATTTGAACATTCACCTTCATTTTCACATGGTCCAGAATCACACGGAGATACTAAAACATTTTTTTACAATTTTGGTTAAAGGAATACAAAGGGTGTATCAATTAATAGCAATGTGCAACAGATACGGTGCCGTAATCGCACCTATTTCCTGACATCTTTTTCCTTTGTAACCAGATGAACAGTTACACTGGAAGGAATTTCCAACATTTGAACATTCACCTTCATTTTCACATGGTCCAGAATCACACGGAGATACTAAAATATTTTTTCACAATTTTGGTTATTTAAAGGATTACGAAGGGTATCAATTAATAGCAATGTGCAACAGATACGTTGCCGTAATCGTACCTATTTCTTGACATCTTTTTCCTTTATAACCAGAAGGACATGAACACTCGAAGGAATTTCCAACATTTGAACATTCACCTCCATTTTTACATAGTCCAGAATCACACGGAGACACTAAAACATATTTTCACAATTTTGGTTAAAGGATTACGAAGGGTATCAATTAATAGCAATGTGCAACAGCGATACAGTGCCGCAATCGTACCTATTTCCTGACATCTTTTTCCTTTATAACCAGAAGGACATGAACACTCGAATGAATCTCCAACATTTGAACATTCACCTTCATTTTCACATGGTCCAGAATCACACGGAGATACTAAAACATTTTTTCACAATTTTGGTTAAAGGAATACAAAGGGTATATCAATTAATAGCAATGTGCAACAGATACGGTGCCGTAATTGTACCTATTTCCTGACATCTTTTTCCTTTATAACCAGAAGGACATGAACACTCGAAGGAATTTCCAACATTTGAACATTCACCTCCATTTTCACATGGTCCAGAATCACACGGAGATACTAAAACATATTTTCACAATTTTGCTTAAAGGATTACAAAAGGGTATCAATTAATAGCAATGTCCAACAGATACGGTGCCGTAATCGTACCTATTTCTTGACATCTTTTTCCTTTATAACCAGAAGGACATGAACACTCGAAGGAATTTCCAACATTTGAACATTCACCTCCATTTTTACATAGTCCAGAATCACACGGAGACACTAAAACATATTTTCACAATTTTGGTTAAAGGATTACGAAGGGTATCAATTAATAGCAATGTGCAACAGCGATACAGTGCCGCAATCGTACCTATTTCCTGACATCTTTTTCCTTTATAACCAGAAGGACATGAACACTGGAATGAATCTCCAACATTTGAACATTCACCTTCATTTTCACATGGTCCAGAATCACACGGAGATACTAAAACATTTTTTCACAATTTTGGTTAAAGGAATACAAAGGGTATATCAATTAATAGCAATGTGCAACAGATACGGTGCCGTAATCGTACCTATTTCCTGACATCTTTTTCCTTTATAACCAGAAGGACATTTACACTTGAAGGAATTTCCAACATTTGAACATTCACCTCCATTTTCACATGGTCCAGAATCACACGGAGATACTAAAACATTTTTTCACAATTTTGGTTAAAGGATTACAAAGGGTATCGATTAATAGCAATGTGCAACTGATACGATGCTGTGATCGTACCGATTTCCTGACATCTTTTTCCTTTATAACCAGAAGGACATGAACACTCGAATGAATCTCCAACATTTGAACATTCACCTTCATTTTCACATAGTCCAGAATCACACGGAGATACTAATGGTACAATCCTGGCAAAAGTTATGTGGACAAGTTGGACAGCTAACTTATCTAACGCCAATATTAACATTGAGACGTTCTTTCATGAAATTTTTCCCCCCCCTGCCCCCAATTCAATGTTGTTTCTCGCATTTAAAGTTTAAAAGTATGTTTAGTTGATTTAGCTACATTGAATTGGGGGTATAGGAGGTGGAGGAATTTTTGGGGGGCATTAATTCTGTAGAAATACATCTTGAGTTTCGTTTGACGCACACGGTGTCTACGATTATTTTTGCCAGGATTGACTTGTAGTTGTTTTGACTCTGTGGACTAAGATAACTGGCTTATTAAAGGTTACGTAAAATTTTTCCAAACGTTGTAAAACATTTCAAAAAAACTACGTCAAAAACCTCTATATAACAGTAAAAACTCAAATTGCTATATTCACTCGCCCCAAGTCTCTTCTGTTTACTGCAAGAAGTAATTAGCGTATGCGCAGATAAAATTCCTATACCTGTTCCGTAGGGACTGTTGAACGATGCCTGAGGTATTCCAGCGGTATTTTACATGAACTTACAAATACGCAGGAGTTTTTTTAGTTCAGCTGCGTTTAATAGTTTTCTTAATGCTCATTTTGCATCCTTCAACTGAGGAAATTGAGAAAATAGTCGAAAGCAAAGACTCGGAAAACAGTAAAAAACTTTTAAAATGGTGACCATGTCTGATGTTTATGCTGTATGAATGTTTGTTTGCTTTCACTTTTTGTTTGATTTATTCGTTAATGTCGCTGAACACTATAATTTGTCTGAGTATGAAACAAAATAGCAATAAAGATGCCTAGTGCAGTGGAATTTTTTGAGTCGTTGTACTTCCAATTAATTTTTTTATATATATGGTTACGAAAACGAACTTTAATTTCAATAGGCGTACATCCAACATTAAATAAACTATGTTAGCAGTATAACAATTAATTTCTTGTTTAATTTTGTATGACCGACCGATACTATAAAACTTAAAACTAGGGTGCCTGCAAGGTAGGGATTGCTGCGGGCATTAAAAGCAAATAGAACTACAGTAAACAGCACAAATTATATCAAGCACAGTGATTACTCGCAGCGACTAGTGAGCCGTGAATGGAACTGAGAAGAAGCAATATATATTGCAGTAGCAAAGACCAGGGGTTAAAGGGCAATCAGAGGTGACAGACAGGGCCGCCGAGAGGGGGGGAGCAAATTGCCCCGAGGTGCTGGGGGCCCCTGAAAAATTTTGTTGGGCCCCAGTCCAGTTAAATATTTCCGCGCAAAGCACAAGATATATTTTTTTGGGGCTAAGTACCGAAATTTGGCATGAACAATTGAGATAAAGTCCCTGTAAAGTAATTGCAACGTACTCGTCCGAAAAATTTTTTTACCTAAAAAGTTGTCGACGGAGGGGGGGAGGTTGTTCTCCGAAAATATTTTTTCCCGGGCCCCCGCCAACCTCTCGGCGGCCCTGGTGACAGATATTAAACATGTGCGTCTCATTGACATACAGGTAAATTAAGATTTCATATCAAGTCTGTTTACTGCCGTAGGCGCATTTACCACATTATATAGACTATATACACAGATTTATCACACTAAGAAACCAAAACTTTATAAAAATATAGAACTGACGGCAGTGGCCAAAGTCCAAAACAAATGTAGGCGTAACATTAGACTTGAAAAAGCTTTAGAAATTCGATAAAAATTCGAAGACTCGAGCGAGTTTAAAATTTGTGTTGTGCGCATAGAAAGCGTGCACGACCACAATTCCATGCGCTAAATAAAATTTAGTTCAAAACCCCCTCTTTGCACATATTAGGCTGCTGCTACGCTCGCTCGCTTCAGGCTCGCTCGCTCCGCAGCAATAATCTTTCAAGAAATTATCACATCAATTAGACCTATTACACATTTTCGCTTACACTTGAAACAACGTCGCTTCTTACCAAATTTAGATGGTCCTTAGGATTTTTTGGTCTTCTGCATGTAGGCAGTCACGTGTAGAAATCAAGTGCATATGTTTACTATATAGTAGCCGGTCTATGATTTGTGAGATGCTTGGGGCCCCATAGGAGTAAATTCTGTCGCAAATTAAAAGACAGCTAATTCGTCCATGTACAAATAACTTTCTGCCGTTAGTTTGGAATATCACGAGACTTCCTCACAGGATAGAACTTGCAATTCCTAAAAATCCTATCGTTTCCGTTTTTCGATTTTGTTACATTTTGGCGGGAAAATGACGTGCCAACTTTGCCGCCAAAAAATTAAACACGAGCTAAGAACATGCTAGTAACTTTTTTGAAGAGATTGTCCTATAAGGATCTCAAAACTGTAAAAACATTAAAAATACAACAAGGCAGTGCGAAGATAT